CAGGGTGCCCACCGCAGGGTCCATGCTATGTGCTGCTCTGGGTTATGTCCCCACTAATGCACGTCCCCAAGCAGAGCTAGGTGACATGCAGCATCAGCAACCAGCGCATGTGACCACGGTGGCAGCACGGTGGCAGCACGGTGGCAGCACGGTGGCAGCGTCTCTGTGTTAGGGGCTCCTCTGGGGTGCATGTCACTCCAGCCCCACCTGAAGAAGACACCAGTTCCTTCCTCACAAAGTAACAACTGCAAAGTGGCAGGGTTCGATATCCGTGAAGAAAACCGTATGTGATCCAGACCTGTATTGGCAGGTCTAATAAAAAACACAGGAATTACCACACAGTGAAGCTCAAGAAACAATCCGCACAGTCCTTCAGGACGATAAGGGCATCTGTGGATTCCAGAGTCTGCACTTCTCAGTTTCGTTTCTGGCTTATTTAGTTGGACCTCGGCAAGGTCCTTAATTTCTTTCTGTTTTAATTTCCTTATCTATTCTTCCAAAGATTACACACATCGATATGCATGGAGTACTCTGAACAGTGTTGGGCAAATAATTAACACTGTCTAATATTAGCTGTTATTGTAACTGAATTTATTTTTAAGAGAAAATAATATTTGGAAGAAGTACTGTATGTTACCCAATCACGAGAACAATCCATAAACACACTCGCCCCACAGTTTTCTGCCTGTCTCTAGTGTTTTAAGTCCATCGCCACTTCACAACACACTCGTCACCTCTGAAGATCCTACTTCACGGGCAGGTAGATGCAGTACAACACAGATAGTAGGTTTGCCATTTCCTTTTCAAGTCAGAGATTATGTGCACGACATCATCTCAGTAAAGTACTTAAAAATGTCACTGGACAGCATGGGGCTAAGCGCTTGGGTTGACCTATTTTAATGAAAACTCTCTATAACAAAAGATTAATCAGCAAGATGGACACTCTGGAAAGTTCTCCAAAGTTTTAAGGAATGGCTCCGCCTTGCTATCTGTTCGCGTGACTCTCAAGAGCTCCCACAGAGCACAGTCACCCCAGGGTGTAGGTAGCCCCAGAAATGGCCAGTGCTTGCTTCAGTGACCTCTTGAGAGTTTCAGTAATGTTTCTCAGTGTTCCCGATGTAACAGATATCTGACCAGACAGGTGACGGCTGCCCAGACCACACCAGGGTGGCCCCCTGCGGACCCCTCGGCGCCCCAACCATTCGCTCTCCTTAACCTCCCCCCCCCCAGCGGAATATCTCCTCCATCTCAGGGAACCACACCATGCGTTCAGATTATTTGTGAAATACCTGCAGAGAATGTCCTCTGGCATCCCATCATGAACACAGAGTCACTAACTGCAGACACGGCAGAGAGAGCTGAAGCTTTTCCACTGGATCCCAGAAATAGAGAGACTACAGAAAATTACTCTTCTATATCCTTTTCCTGAGAAACCCTTTTGCTGTATCTTTTGTGCTTAACCTATCTGTCTATACATTAATAAGCCACGGAGAGTCCCACCCACCCACGGGAAACTCCTCTGCTTATAAGAATCTGTTAGCTGATGGTGCTTTTTCTCCATAATAAATTCAGTTTTTCAATAATTACTAATTTCTATATTGCTCTGAGATGTGGGGGGAAAAAATCCCATGGAATGCATTGAAAACATGTTTTGGACTTATTCAGCGGCAGACCAGTTACTGTAAAAAAACAGGTCACCACGTGAAATGGAAACCACTTCCAATTTTCTTTGGAATACACCTTGTACTATAGCGTCACCACCGAAAACCATGCGAGAGGGGAGGGACGAATCTAGTCACCTAGCAGTGTGCCCAACAGATGCTTTGTCTTTGACTCAGTTACCTGGATGGCAGGTGAGCGAGGGGAGCCTTCCCTCGGGACTTTTGCACAAACCCTGCCAACTGAAGGCTCTGAGGCTACCTTTCTAGACAACCTCAGGGCCGGGACCAATTGAAAACTCATATTAGCCAGTTGCTCAGTTCAAGAGTGAGGATGCCAGGATCAGGCACGTTCCTAAGAGATGATATGTGAACCAGATGCAGTGGCACATGCCTGTATCCCAGTGGCCCGGGAGGCTGAAGCAAGAGGATCCTGAGTTCAAAGCCAGCTCAGCAAAGGCTAGGTGCTAAGCAAATCAGTGAGACCCTGTCTCTAAATAAAATACAAAAAAAGGGCTGGGGATGTGGCTCAGTGGTTGGGGTGCTCCGAATTCAATCCCTAGTACCACTATCCCCACTGCAAAAAAAAAAAAAAAAAGAGAGAGAGAGAGAGAGAGAGAAAGATGATGTCTAAGACTGTCCTGGGGATGGGGAATGAACCGGAGGACTGACGGCTAAGAGTCCAGGGTTTAGTGTCAGGGCTCCTGTTCTGACTCATCACCATTTCTTTTAGGCTGAGGCTGATCACAGCATTTCTCTGGGGCTGCATGCCCTTAGCTTTGAGTGTTTATCTTGGTGGCTCCCTAACATCCCTTCTAGCTCCCAGAGTCTGTGATTTCGAGAAACAAGAGAACTTTGCAACACTATTCAACCTGGTGCATGATGCCAAGGCTGTTCTGCCAGAATGGCACAGAATTCACACTCATCATCCTGGAGGAGATGGGGTGGTCTTAGTAATCCAGAGACCCGACACCAACTCAGGCCCCAAGGCTCACACAGGGTCCTCCCTGCCCATTACGTTCAAAGCCACTGTGAGTGGAACTCCATCCAAGAAGCAGCCCCTCCCTGAATCAAGATGTTCAACCAGGAAGCACAAGAGGCTCATGAGGACCAGCAGGCAGCCAGCCGGCTCTGGCTCCACAGGGTACAGAGAAAAGTCAGTGTCTCCCAAGTTGCCCTGGGAGTCTGTTTGCATTTGGCTTTTTTAACAGAACTCTCGTGTGAAATTTGAGCCTGTCTACCTGGGGCTAAAACACCTCTTTATATCATACTTATCCTTATTTCCACCCATTTAATTTTCCCCTAGACCCCAAATTCCACTTGGCAGGAAAGACTGTGCACAAATTGGTGCCTCTCAGGAGCAGATCTCTTCTGCCTGTTCAAAGGGCCCTTCTCCTTCACTGTCCTTAAGTTATAAAACAGCAGGCGCTGTGTAAACTGTGAAGCAGGCGGCCCGTTACAATACGGAGATGTATTTTTCCCTTCTGACTGCCAATTCTTAAAAGTCGGAGCAGCCACTCTCTGTTTGCTGAAGTTGAACGACTTCATCAGGTCTTTGCAGGAAATGTAGCAGGAAATGCTGGCAGTGGGGTAAAACCAGCCTTTTTCCGCATGAGAGAGTAACAGGCGTAGAGGGCCCATCAGGGGATCCCCGGCATCGGCGGGTCCACAGCCCCTGAATGGCCTTCCTGAGTCTGCTCACCGCAGTTTCCTCCAGCCCCACACCTTGCCCGCTGCAGGCCTGCTTCCTCTGTGGTCCTCTGTGGACAGCCTGGCCCTTTGGTGTTGTCACACGTAATGCAGGGTCCCTATTGGTCTTCAGCCAGCCACTCCTACTCTGGAAACCCGGGACGTGCCACAGTGGTTCCTGGGTTGTGTGACAACTATATGGTCCCCCGACTTTGGTCTGCTGTTTACATGCACAGTGCAATCAGGGGTGTTGTCAGCCCTAGGGTTCCCCGAGTCTGGGCAAGGCCAGGCCGACTCTACGGCCTTCAAGAGAAAGGCCAAGAGACCCTCCAGGGAGAACAGAGGTCAGAAGTGGAGGGGAGGGGACCTGTGCTGGAGCCGGGGCCGTCCCTGGGGGCTGGGCTCTCTGCAGGCTCCACCACTTAGGACAGGGGAAGGGGGAGGTAGGCAGGGGAATGGTCTAACGGGGCGTGGGGTGTAGCCAGGACTGCAGGGAAGGCCATCACGCTGCGGTGGTCCCCCCAGGGGGCTCTGAAGGGCTAGAGCAGAGAAGCCCCTCGGGGTCCCTCGTATTTCCCAAGCCCTTTCTCTGCACCAGGCACATCATTCCGTGTGCTCTGACAAAGGCACGCTCATCTCCTCCCCATTCTGCAGGTGAGTAAACAGGTTCAGAGAGGCTCTGAGACCTGGCTAAGGCAGAAGCACTTCACCCCGGAGCCCAGACTCTCAACCATTCTGCCCACCCCCGGCCTCCGGCACCGCAGCCTCTGGGGACAGGAGGCAGTCCCATTTCTCAATATCCCCAACTCTGAGAAGAGGGTATTAATGTCGCGCCAGGGACCGGGTATGGCTTGGGGCGTGCAGGGGCTGAGCCAGGGCTCCAGTCGGCCCACAGACACAGACCCATGGCCTAGTCTTAGGTCCTGGGGCAGGGTGTGGCTCGGGAAGAGAGTGTTACTCTGTGTTTACTCAAAGATAGTCATTAAGTCACTGTGAAGAAATCTTTTCTGCAGACTAAACAACCCCACTCCTTTTTTAAAAGCTTTCCTCACAGGAGCTATTTTTTGGTACTCCTCTACCCTCCTATTCTCTATTTTAAACAATCCTGTAGTGGGATTTTCATTTATGCCAGAAAAAAGAAGAGGCTCATTTTCAGAGTTTTCATCTCTGGCTTTAACAAATTAATGAAAACAGGCATGGATCACCCCAGGCCAGGCTAGGATCCCCAGGCGGGTCAGCCCCTTCTGGTCCACTTTGACCCTCAGGTCTTTTTTTTTTTTTTTTTTTTTTTTTTTTTTGTCTACCCTGTACCTGACCAATCTTCTATTCATTGTTTGTTTCTGATAATACTGAACTTCACTTACTGTTGAGGAACTTGTCCTTAGTCTCATTCAGCTCTAAAATGGTTCCAACGTGCACTTGAGTCAGCTAAATTTCCTTTTGACCTCTAAAAGCATGATTCAAAAACAGCCCAGTGCCCAGAGACAACATCAGAAGTGAATGTGTTGACAATGAAATTCCTTTTCTCTGCAGGGCCCTGACATCTCCCTGGGTGTGTGTGGGGGGGAGACTGAAGCCACAGACTGTGAGAAACAGTGGGCTCCCGAGTGCACCAAGCCAGAGAGTGTACCGACCCCAAGGGGGCCCACTTACTTCGGGGTTCTCGGGGTCCGTCCACTGTGATTTTGATGGCTCTGTGGTAGGTGGCTACTTGCGGTGGGTTTGTGAACACGGTGATGGTCAGAGTGAAGCTCTTCCCTGTTGGGACACAAAACAGAATGAAAGGAATGAGGGGGTGCCCGAATACGTCTGTGGGGTAACTGATCATTCACTAATGCTCTCCAGCTCTCAGGGGAGAGGCGGGCACTTCAGGCCAGGCCAGGGTCCCCAGGCGGGTCTGCTTTGCTGGGTCTGGGATGCACACCTCTGGCATCGGTCCAGGTGCAGCTACAGGGCTCTCCGTTGCTCCCCAGCCAGCAACACAGGCTCAGGGTGAGGCTCCAGGGATCACAGAGTCGGACTGGCAGCTCTCCGTCCCTGTCCCTCATCTCCACCCATCGCCCGCCCCAATTATTTATAAAATCAGGGCGAAGAGGAACAGAAGGAAACTGCATCTTTCCCTCTTTTTGCACATCTCAGGATTAGAAAAGACAGAATTCTAAATCTGAGGATATGCTCAGTTAGAATCACTCTGTCTTTTTAGATATTAATTGCTGGTTGGCTTTAGATATTATTTGTAAATACCCAAAGTTATCAGAGACACTCACAGGATTGTCTAGAATGAAATTCATGGCCAGTAAATGAGCTTAAGGATACGTAACCGACAGACCAGGTGCAGTAAGCACTAGATACACAGGTGGAGAGCCTTGCACACGCTTTGCCTGCGCTTGGGAAAGGTGAGCGCACCTTCACTGCCTGTGTTTAAACACAATTCTTCCCGGACAAGTGACGTGGGGGATGGATTCTGGGTGAGAACTCTGCTGGACCTATGGCAAGTCCTCAGGCCTGCACAGCCTTGGGCCTCAGTGTGCTTGCCTGGAAGGTGGGGACACAGAACTTCTACCTTCTAGGGTCCCGGGGAGGACGCAGGAGCTCATGTCAGCCAAACCATGAACACAGAGACCGTTACAGGCGGTCAGAGGTGTGTGTCTTCTCTGTTGCTCAGAGTCTAACATTGAACCCATATCTACGTGCAGTTCTTCAATTAGCACAATTTCTCTTAATCGTGCAGCAGAAACAGGACCCAAAATAAATGAAAGGAAAACAAGCCATGCCCATCCCCCACATCATGCATCATTTTAAAACTCAGCTCGTCTTCCGCCCGATGTTAGGGAGAGGGGGATGTTTCCATAGAAGGGAAGGCCACGGAAACTGCTCCAGGGCCACGGCGAGCCAGGGACCCCTCAGGAGGTGCCTCCACCTAGTGATCCCCAAGGACGTGGATCCACCTCCTGACCCCACACAGGAGGTGGGAGGATGGCGCCTATTTTGCCTCAAAAGACCCTGTGAACCACGGCAAGGTGGCCAGGAGACGCTGTCCCCCCTGCCACCAGCTGCTTCTCCTTTGGGAGAGTCCTGTCCAGCTTTAGAGCCTCGCCACCCTCAGACAGATGTGATGGTGACATTCCAGATGGTGTCCTGCCCTGGCATCCAGCAGCTCTGGAGGAACAGAGGGCAGAGGCTCTGGCTGGGCCGGCCAGGAGGTGTAGGACGGCGGCGGCACAGAGGCCCCTCGCTAGGTCGCTGCTGGCTGAGAAGACCCCCTGCTGGGGAAGACGCTTCCTCCAGGCCCCACGGTCAATCTGTCCCTCCTCATCAAAAACCCATGAAGGTCACGACTATATCATCAAGATGCACTCTCAGAGCCAGCTTCTAGAATCTTCCCCATTGTAGGGCCCGAGGGGTCTCTGTCACCCTGCCACATACCCAGCCACTCAGGAGTTGCTGCTTGAGACCCCCTGCCTTTGGAGACTGCTGGCACTGGCTGCCAGCGCTCCAGGCGGCCTCCCCTGCGGAGGGCAGTGTGCCCTGTGGAGGGCAGTGTGCTCTGCGGTGTTTCCAGCAGCCTATAAGCCCTCTCCCCTTCCATCACCCAGGGCCTAGCTCCTCAGGACAGGGACCACGCACGCTGTGTACACAGCAGACACCACTGGGAAAGGGGGACATGGGAGGGGCTGCCGGGGAGAGGGATGGGGCACCAGCAATGGCAGTGACACTTCCCAGTCCTGAGAAGGCCTTGGGTGCTGGAGGGAGAGACGGGGCAGTCGGCTCCCCCAAGGGCGAGAGCTAGGAGGCCCGTGACATGCAGATGTCACATTCTCCAATCGCCACCCATTGGCCCCAGACACCGCGACTGCTTCCTCTGTCACCGTTGGCTCTGGTACTTCATAGGCTTCCTAAAAACGCCCTGTCCATTCCCCGGGGCTGCCACGATGAGCAGCCACAAACAGGTGGCTTAAAACCACCGGCGCCTACGGTCCACAGCTCTGGGGGCCAGTGGGAAGCCACGGCGTGGGTAGGGTCGCACATCCCTCCAAGGCGCTGGGGCACCTTCCTGCCTCCTCCTGGCTGCTGGTAGCTGCCAGCGCTGCTCGGCAATCCCTGCTCCCCTTCACGTGGCTGTCGCCCATCTCCCTCTCCTGGTCAGGACGGCAGTCATGGACTTGGGCCCTGCCCAGGCCAGCACACCTCACCTGAGCTGGATGGCGCCTGTGAAGTCACTATTTCTAAATGAGACTATTTTGAGATTCCAGGCAGATGTGAATTTTTAGGGACGCTGTTCAACACAGCAGCAACTGATCTAAGGGTTCATTTTGCCCTCTGCAACAGTCTTGCTCCTACCCTGGTCCTCCCATGGCTGTCCTATCCACGATTTCCTAAATGACATCAAAGAATGTGCTCAGCACACTGGCATTTTTAGGTCTGTGTAGAGCTTACGACTTTTCAACACTCGCCATACAGCATTTCATTTGGTATTCACAATGACCTCATGAAATAAACAAGATAGACTTTACTACCTTTAATTAACAGATAGCCAAACTAAGACTCAGAGAAGTTAAGTAATTTTCTCAAATTCACACAGCTCCTTCATAGAGCAGAGTCCCCAAGATTTACTCTCACTGTTCTTTGTGTTATTGTTGCCATTGTCATGAATCTCCATCTGCAAACCAGGACAAGGAATCCAAACTCATGGTACTCTACCTCTGTTCCAAAAATGGAGGATTGTTCCCGTGACTAATGTACATGAACTGTCCTGTGAACCTGGAAGACTGTGAACCTGGATCAGGGTTGAAAAGCAGGTTCTTTGGGGGCTGCATTTGGGCTTCCAGCTGCTGAGCCCCCTGAGGAGCCCTGGGTAACCTCGGAGCAGCCGACAGAGGAGGGAAATTCAAACAAAGTGGGGGTTTGCCCAATCACTGCTCGTCATCCTAAGTCTCACATTCTGTGCCTGCCATCCTAAGGGCAGACACAGGGAGTCCGCCCAGCAAGGCGGGGTCCTCTCTGCCAGGTGTCTGGTCCACCCGGCAGGTGACCTGCAGTCCTGGGCACCACGGCCTCGGTCTGCAGTGAGTAGGTACGAGGACGTCTGCACATTACCTCGCAGACGGGGTGACTGTCTTCTCCCAGGAGACTGGTGTTTCTCTGGGGTGAAAGCCCTGCCTTCCTCTTCCTGTGTCTTCCTGGGGCCAGACCCGGCATGCCCTTGACAATGGGCTCCAGGTAGCCACTGGGCATGGCTGCCTAAAGCCCGCGCTCCGCCCACCAGCCCCCGGCTGCCGAGATGCAGCCCTTCTTGGCCAGCACCTGCAGAAGTGGGCGCTGCCCCCCGGAGCACACCTGTCATTAGCCAAATTCCCTCATTAAAGCGACCTGCGGGCCTGGTATTTCAAGTGCGTGGGTGTGGGCAGCGAGAGACTCTCAAGTGTTTTTCTCAGCAAGCTGCAGCCAGAATAGCAAGAAGTCTAAGGGCGGCAGAGGCCAGGCTGGCTGCAAAACAACACCCCGATCTCTGGGCAGGGTGGGGGGCTGAGGGCCAGGCTGCCCCAGGGAGAGCCCACGTCCTTACTCACAACCTAGCAGGGCCCCCATCCCCAGCTCCCAGGCCTCGAGACCAGCAGAGGCTTTGGCTCCAGGGCTGCCCCACGGGTGCTGCTGAAAGGGGGAGCCGCAGCGCAGGCACCAAGGAACGGGACACACGGAGATCCTCCTTCTCCTGCTCACAGACGCCTGGCCAAAGCAGCAGCCGCCCTTCTGACCAGGCATGGGCCAGGAGGACAATAAGAAGCAGCAGGATTGAATAAGAAGGTGCAAAGAAGCCACAGGGGAGGGTTGGGTTGTCCTGACTTAAGTGTGGAAGCCCAGAGAGACAATCCCTTGCTTATCTAACAAGTGGAGGTAGAAACACAGGGTGACAGCTAATAGTGCAGACTCTCAAGTTGAACCACCTTTGTTCAGAAATGCCACTTGCTAGCTGTGTGGCCTCGGGCCAGTCACTTCACCTCTCTGGGGCCTCTTGTCATCTGTAAGAGGGAAGACAACGATCTTTCCATCTCAGCCTTGTTATGCAGGTAAAAATGAACATGGATGTGAAAGCAGGGCACTGAGCAAGCTCTCAGAAAACATCAGGAAAATTATTAAAGACAAGGCAAATGTTATTTCACAATCCTGGAGCTGGGGGAGCTGGCATGGCGAAGAGCTGGATGAACGGCCGTGCACATCGGATGTGTGCCTGTGTGTCCAGCAGGTGACGGAGCTGCTACCAGGCCCGAGTTCAACTCGAACTTCAAGTTCAAGTTCACTTCTGCCTCACCAGCTGGCAGCCTTCATAAGGTGCAACTGCGACTGGCTGGTCCGCTACATAAACAAGCCCGGCCACGGCAACAAGTGTTGTCTCCCCCGACGCCAGTGTGTCCATCCAAATGGCAGGGCAAAATACTAACTGCTTTATTTAGTTGGGAAGAAGGTCACGGGGTGAGCCTTCCTGGACACTTGCTGCCCAGCCGTGCTGTCCAAGGCAGGGCTGCAGGAGGCCCCGGGTCTAGGCTGAATGGTGGAGCCAGTGGCTGACCGTGTGCTGAGAGGGCAGGGCTGGACCCTGCAAGTCTGCATGCACCCCGCTTCTCACCATGTCTGGGAAGTGGTCAAACCTCAGAACTGCTGCGAATATGCACTCTGCTCCCCAAAAAGTCAGGGTGAGGAGGAAACCAAGGCAAAAACTCCAGGGGTCACTGCAGGGCCAGTCCCGAGGAGGGGGCACG